GCTATTTTGTTCTGTATATGGGCAATATCAAATTATGTTTCGGTTGTTGAAGCTGAAGTGATGCCCCAGGTTTGTATTATACATAGTTCCTCCAATTTTTTTTTTTCGTTCTTTTTTTCTCACTGCCTATGAAGTATAGGTTTTCCATATTGTTTTTGTATTATAAATGGCTTGTAGGTCCGTGTCTTATAAAGTCTGAGTGTTTAACTCTCGTGCATGGAATTTTCATTCTCTTAAATTCTGCTTTCAGGTGATGGCGTTGCTTCAAAATCTTCCGCAGCAAGCGCAACTGCTTCAGACAGGTGAATAGGTTTTCTTTCTAAGTTTTATATGTAGCTTGGTGGAAACCACTAGCGTATACGCTACAGAAACCTTCCAATTTATGCTTAATTCTTTTCTAATTGAATAGCAAATGTGTCTGAAGCCTTTTCTTTAATGCAAGATATCTTCTTCCCTGTTTGATTTCAGCATGCTTACTTGTCGGGGCATATTCAAAATGGCTTAATGCTGCACCAGCCAGTGTTTCAATATTGCCATCGATCATTAGAATTCTTATGAGTGGAATGGGCACATCTGAAGATTGTGCAGCAGCTGCAGCTTTGGCTTTTAGACATATTTGCGATGGTATTGTATTCGTTCTTACAAATTTGATCCATTCTTTTTATTTTCTGAATATAACATTGACATTATGAGAAGTATGCATATACTACAAATCTGGCTATCTTATTTCTTTGTTGTTTCCTGCATGAAACCATGGCAAAGATATTTTGGTTTTAGGATTTAGCATTGGTATTTGATTTAAATCAACATTTTGATGGTTATATAGGATTAACCAGCTCCCCTTTTATAAAAAAACGTTCTCTAGGGCTGCTGTATAAGGTTTCTCATCTTGATTTTTCCTGACAGAATAATGCTAAGTAGATTCATGGACTACACGTATTCAGGCAGTCAGTTTAATAATTATAACTCTTTCACTTGCAAACTAAATTAAATTTTGGTTGTTAGTTTTCTCTTAGGAAGTATGAACTTCTCACCTCTGTAAAATTCAATTGAATTGTGCATACTGACCTACTTCAAAGATGGCAGCTAGTCGAAAGGTCTGACTGGAACCTACGCTAACGGATCTGACTTCGACTCTACTGAATTGCTAGCATATAGGGTGCATTGCAATACTGGCAAGTATTTGGAATTTTGTTGAATGCTTTCCTTGGACTGAATTCTGTTTTCCAGTTTTGTCAATGCGATTTTCAAATTACTTTTCATGATATATGGTGTGAAACCATAATGATACTAAATAAAAGCTTGTAGCTATCTAACAGCTAATGTTCTGTAAATGTTGATTGCTTCTTGTTAATCAATTTACTCTCCTCTTCTCCCCAAAATGAGAGATACAGGAAGGTGTTTTTCTGTTGAAATCGATATGCATATATTATCTTTGGTGTTTTCTTTTACTGGATTCAAAATGTTACAATTTTGCTTTTGTAAATATCTGATGCCTGTTTAAATAATGTTTCATTGTAGATTGCCGAAAAAATCTTTGTGGGTATTTTGAAGATTTGTTTAATATCTATTGTATGGCGATCAATGGCGGTGGTGGTTATAAAGTCTCTGCTGAGGATTCACTAAATCTCGTCGAAGCTTTAGGGTATGGAGTCAACTGAGTGATGGATTAGATCTCATTTGTGTGTTATTGACATCTCTAAAATTTGATTATGCAGTATGGTTGTTACCGAACTGCCTTTAGATCAGGCCAAAGGCGCTCTTGAAAAATTATGCTTTTCAGCCGCCTCTCCTCTAGAGGTTTGCCATCTTGACTATTTGCATAGTTGTTTGACATACTGCCAAGACTTATAGATGGGAACTGTAAATCTGTGAATCAGGAAGCAGCGAAAGAAGATTTGGAGAAGAAGCATGCACGTGAATTAACTGTTCATATTGACCGGTTTGCCTTCCTCTTCAGGTTTGTGTAAGAGTAGCTCAATGATGCGATATATCTCCATGTGTTTTGTTTAGTCTTACTAACAAATGCTACCACATTAGGTATGTGAACCACCCTGAAGCGGTGGCTGCTGAGATTAATAAGCATTGGGCTATTTTCAGAGTTATTTTTGATACGTAAGTGAATCTAGGCACATGATGATTTACATGTTCTCTTCAAATTGCTTTTTATGTGGTCTCTTACTTTGAAATGGTTTTTACTGCAGTCGTCCTTGGGACATGAGGACTATGGAATCTCTATGCAGAGCATGCAAATATGCTGTGAGTTTCATTTCCTTTTTCTTTACCTACCTGCTTCCTGGATATTCCTGAACACCATCGTTTTTAAAGTCTTTTTACCTGTCTCGTTCTTTTTCCTCTGTTTGCCAGACATTCCATTTCTATGAACATAAGAGAAAATCTAAAACTTTTTGTCGGATGACAATTTTGATAGCGGATACTTCACTAAAAGAAGGCAATGGTTGTAGGTACGCACTTCTGGAAGATACATAATTAATACAATTGGAGAAATGCTGGCAAAGATTCAATTCCATTATCAGCAGCATCATCAGCCATGCTTTCTATACTTATCCAGTGAAGTTATAAAGGTAATTTGTGTTCTTTTCATTCAATGGAATGCTTATAGAAAAGCTTTAGAGACTCTAATCTTTGTGGGTTTTGCAGATTTTTGGTTCTGATCCATCGTGTGCTGACTACTTGAAGAACCTGATTGAAACCCTCTTTGCACATACAACATGTCTTATGACAAGTATTAAGGTTGACAAATTTCACATAGTAGTAGTATACTATCTTCAAGCTCTTAGTTTTAATATCCTATGTGGTGTCTGACTCTGTTTATATTCTTACAGGAAGTCACTGCGAGACCAGATATAGCCGATGACTGCTTTTTGTTGGCGTCTAGATGTCTTCGCTACTGTCCACATTTATTCATTCCGTCTCCTATATTTCCACCTCTTGTAGATTGCGCAATGATTGGAATCACAGTGCAGCACAGGTTTACCCTCTCTTTCTCTAAAGTTGTTCATCATAAGCTGTTTTTCCTTCAGGATTTTGAAATGATGTTAACTATATATTTTGAACTCTTTTCCAGAGAAGCCTGCCACTCGATATTGACCTTTTTAACCGACATTTTTGACCTCGAGAAGTCTGTGAATGAAGAGCAGTTCGTACTAATCAGGGACAATATCATTATTCCTCGGGGAGCTACAATCACAAGAATATTGATAGCCTCATTAGCTGGGGCACTTCCCAGTTCCCGGCTAGATACGGTAAATTTAGGAAATCTATCTTTTTGCTACATTTTCTGAGTGATGTTTTTGGCCTTTGAAAACCGTTTCCTTTTGTTTTTGTTTGTTTTGGGTATTGGTTAGGTAACATATTCGCTGCTAGCTCTGACAAGAACATACAGGTTACAAGCAGTGGGTTGGGCTAAGGAAAGTGTAAGCCTGATACCTCGAACAGCCTTGACAGAGACCGAATCTACCAAGTTCTTACAAGCATTGTCCGATATTGCTTATGGAGCAGATGTGAATTCTCTAATAGGACACGTTGAGGAGCTCTCAGATGTTTGTCGCCGTAACCGTACTGTTCAAGAGCTTGTTCAGGCAGCTTTGAAGCCTCTTGAGTTGAATCTGGTTGCTGCTCCTGTATCATAAAGATGATGAAAAACAAAGAAAGAAAGAAAAAGAAGAAAAGAAGAGTGAGAAGAGCCATCAATGAAGGTCAATTTTTGCATAGACCACTTTTTGATGGTTTGAGAAAATGAGAGATTTGATGCTTTTGTGCATTTTTTTTTACTGTTTTAGCTGTTGATAAAGATTTTTTTTTATCTCATCTTTATATCTTCTGGTGTGAGCCGTTGTTCCATTGTTTGGCCGGTTTATTTCCAGCTTGAAGAACCAAACTCGTCTATTTTAATTTAAACCGGGTGAGATACAGAAGGGAATCCTTTTGACCCTTCAAGGATTGGTATGATTTTGAGTGGAAGGATCATATACAACAAAAAAGCATTGATAATCTTTTCTTATTACTTGCAGAGTATCCTCATGTACTTACATTTTTTCAATTTTTATGATCAAATCAAATCATATATGTTCCAACTTTGTTACAAATTCAAATCTTGATTGGAGAATTTATCAGGTAGCCAATGTTTCAGTCCCTAAACAGCAAATTTAAGAGATACCAACTATTAGATGTGATGATTTTTTGTTTTTTTTGACTTTTTACATGATTCCTTTTTCTTTACTTTATGTCTCCAATTAACTTTGCAACATATTAACTATGCATTTCTGTGTCTGCACTTTTCACTCAGTTACTAGTGTCTTGTCTTAACCTCAATTAACATCTTCCTTATAATCAGCTTCACTCTTTGTTTTCACTCTAAAGTCACTTTATAACACCATTGATTCATTGAGCATTATGATTAGCTCTCTTTTGTTGAGTTCACTCTCAAATATCTCTTTCGAATTCCGATTTCATATGTTCTAATTCCTGGCAGAAGTTTAGAGAAAGAGCAATCTCAAGAACAAACTAAATGATTTATTTCAGTTTTGAAAAGTTGTTGTAGCTAAAACCCTTGGAAATATTCACGACAGATAGTTATTATTATTGTTGGCATATAGTTGCCCATCCTCAAATATGCATTTTATATTGAATCAGTAATCAGCAGTGATATGCAAAGTTTTCTTCTTCTTTTTTAAGAACTTTTGAGACCTACTAAACTATTTAATTGCCCATGAAGTCACATGTGACACAATAATCAGTATAATGCAAACAGTGTAAGCAATAACTAATTCAGTGAAGAGATTTTAAACGCCATTTTTATAAAAGTAGGGAAAGAATAACAGTTGCAACCTACTTACCTACTTCCATTATTCAATGATCCGTGAAAATTAGTAGGCAGAGCTACTTAATCAATTTTTTCAAGAACTATTTATCTTTTCACATCGTTTTATATTCGAACACGCAAAAAAAAAAAATTGAAGTTGCTACAATTTTACCAATTCATCATTTGTAATATATTACATGAAAATTGAAACTCATTAACCTCATAACGCAAACTCACCAAGTCACCATGAAAACAAGCAACACAAGAGAAATTTCAGCAAAGAACTCATTAGAGACATTGAAGATATCTTTGAACTCAATCTAATTAGTAGAATTTACTTTCAAGAAAAAAGAGATACTAAAACGAATGAGAACTTAGGAAGTAATATATATAATAACTTAGCAATCAGTATGAATCACCACATTCACACAGTGGTTTTAAGTCTCAGAAGCTTCTCAATGTTTTGTTTCTCTTCGTCCCTCAATTGTGAGGCATTCCTGGCAACACAAAATCGAACAATTATAAGTTCCTTACAACAAAGAACATTGATTCGAATCAACATAGCACAGCTTGTTTACCTGCAGATCCATTATCTGGTCGAATTTCAGCTAATGGGTTGACTATAAATCCAGGAGAGCCATTAAACCGATGCCTCGAGTTTTGTATCCCTGTGGCTTCTGCATTTCTGCTCCTATAAGTGGACATTCTCGATGCTGAATACTTCGAATCGTGTTTCTTCCAGAATTTAGATTTGATGAAACTTCCAGAAGGAAGGAGACAACAGTTGTTTCTGCTTGAACCGTTACTCATTCTCCCATTTGAAACCGCCAAGTCATAAGATATCTCATCCAGCGCAAGTTCTAAACCGTGAACTCGTGTTTCCAGACCACGCATTCCGTGTTGTGAGCTTCCGACAAATCTCTAATAAAAATCACACAGAATAAGTTTCAGGGCCTACAGAAATGAAAGCAATCTGGATGCTTGTAATGTAAGAAAGATCATCATCATGTTTTAGAACAAACCTGAAGAAGATCCATTAGATTGGATTGCTGTTGTTCAATCTGAACAAGCTGATTACGGATCAGAGATATATCTTCAAACCCTTTGCAGTTACTACTATTTGGGTTTTCAGACAAGACATGATGCCCTGTTACCATTGTAGCACCGGATGGTGGGATATTGCCATTAAGAGAACTGGAAACACCTCCTAGCTTCTGATTCGTATTGTGACTAGAATGACTCGTTTCCTTTGCGTTCTCGTTATGGTCACGATGTTGTTCGTCTTCAAGAGGCACACCAGTAGGAATACTAGCTCCTCCAGCTTTCCAGTCCAATCTTCTCCTCACGTTTGGTTTTGTATGTGATGCCGTTAGACTGGTTTTCTTCTGATCAATGCTTTTTCTGCTAGCCTGTTTCCTAGCCGTGGTGGCTAGTGAACTCCCCGGTGGAGTCAATCTGTTAACTATATGAGTTCTTGATTTAGCCGGTGTTGAAGCAACTCTAGATCCGGAAGGGTATCGTCCATCACTTGCATCACCTAGAATCAAGAAAACAGGACAAATAAGCAACCAAAGATCTTAGCAACAAATCCATACAAAGCTAAGAAACACAGTGAACCAAGATAGTATTTTAGCACCAAAACTAGAAAAAGTTTCCTGATTTGGCTAAAGATCAAATGGTATACGAAGATACCTTTAGAAGAAGCATTAGATCTGGGTGGAGAAACCTCTTCTGATAAATCTGGAACCTGTTTCCATGCCTCCATCATCTGATTCATCACCTCTCTCACAGCTTTCACCTAAACCATATCAAAATTCAAATCTATGATCATCTTTAAGCCAAACCTTAAATTCAAATGACAAATTCAAGATCAAGAAAACCAAACCTTATCATATTTCCTGCTTTCGAAGATCTTCAAGCATTTAGCCTTGAACTCACCTAACTCATTTCTCTCCATTGTAGCTAACCTCCCCAAAGCTTCAGCAGCTGCTTTCCTCGCGGCCCAATCTTCACTAACCAAGAAGCTCAATAAGCAATCCACAAGTCCTTTCAATCCACCGGAGCTCAAAGTGGTTCCAGACAAACCACCAGCACCAATCACACTTCCGATCACAACAACTCCCGCCGATTTCGCCTTAAACGCATTACACTTCACCAGCTTCTCAAGTCTAGGCAAAAGTGTCTGCCCTAACCGAACCGGATCCGGATCAGACGCCGAATCAATCGCCGCCGCGAGACAAAGCGCAGCTCCGATCTGCGCATTAACCTCTTGCTCAGTGAAAAGCGTATCCGCTAACGGCTTCATAAACGCCGAATAAAACGGAGGCTTCGTCGTACGTGAAGAGATCGCCGACACAGCCGCGACGCAAGTTGATCGAATCGAAGAGTCTGGATCACGGAGACGTCTCGTGATGCGAGTAAGGATCTTAGAGAGGAAAGGAGACAGAGAATTGAGAGGAAGAGAAACTGATAAAACAGAGAGCAAGTGAATACAATGCTTACGAACCGCCGGTTTATCTCCGGTGTCGGCGGAGAGTATAACGGAGATAAACGACTGGAGATTCCCGGAGGAGGAAGGATCAATCTGTCTAGCCATTAAATCAAGCTCTCGAGCCGCCATTGTGAAAGTATCTCGATCTCCGAGCTTAGTTAACAACACGGACATGTTCTGCTTCGTGTTCTTCGTCGCCATTTTCTAATTTGCTGAATGTTTCTTCTCCGGTGACGGTTGGTGGATCAGTGTTGCGGAGACGGTGGTGGATCTGGCGGAATAAGAGGTGGCAGTGGCATTAGTGTAAATTAAAAAACTTGACGGTGGTCGGTCGGTTATTTATAGACGGTGACCATAATAGTGAGTTTTAGAGAGCTTTTATCGTCTGTGGTGTGTCTCTGTGATTTTTATAACCGTCTTTATGAGATTTTTGGAAAATAGAGATGATGACCTAAAACGATGCCGTTTCTTCAGGTGTCGCAAAAATAATCACGCCAGGGAACATGTCATGATGTTGGTATTAGAATATCACTCCTCGTCTTCCTAATTTCTTATTTTCAACCAAAAAAAATTTGTATTTCCAAAGTAGTACTATTAAAGATTTCAAGGAAAAAATTGATTACGTATTTCTTTTTTACATTTTACCAAGAAAATTATCGACATTGTATCATAACTTCACGAGTCATACCCAATATACTAATGTTGACGGATGGATTAATGCTTTTTTAGGATGCGTAGTGTTTAGCTTTGTTTATCATAAAAAAAAAGTAAGCGTGTGGGTTAGTCATAATAGATATGAGAGTTTCTTTTACGAAATTGCAAACCTATCAATATCATAATTTGATAGAATTTCGACAACATATCAAAACTATGAGTACAAATGTAGATAATATAGAACATATGTTGTAGCTTTCAAACATGAATGTGTGCAAATCAAGCAAAAGTAACTTGATTTGTTGGGCTTCTTTGTTATACGTTCTCCAAGGTGGTTCAACTAATATTCCAACATTTTATATTACATCTTTGGTGAACCAATATTATCAAATCGGAGCATGAAAGCTCTTTGTACTTGTTTTTTATTAGTAACCTTTTAGTTTAATTTGCATGATTTGTGAAAAACGTGTGGTCAATGGTGGATATGATCTTGTTGAGAGTCGCATTAGCTTGAAAATTAAGGGTGTCAAACTATAGATTACGGTTTGAGATCCCGTCTAAACTGGTTTGAACCGAATTGGGCCTAGAGAAAGGCCCAAGAAAGATAGACGTAGGCTGCACTGCACCGAACCAGCCTACACTTCCTCTGCAACTCCTTTCGAAATAATTTCATGTAACCATTAAGATTAAGTGTGATTAATCATCCTATACTATTATTTGGGGAGTACACTTTATAAGATACCCTTAACTAACCTTCCCTTTTGTAAGAATTTACTTAAGAATGCCATTAGAAATAAAATTTTATAGAGTAAATTAATTCAATTCATTAAGGATAAACAAGTCAAATACTATTTTATGCAATTTAATTAATTTAATTTAATTATAAAAACGAAAATCTATTATTAATTTTTTTAAAAAGAATGACCAATCAAAATGAACATATAAGATTTGATATCTAACTTATCACATTAATTTGTTATTAATCATTATACTTCACCTCTCATCTTTATATTATTCTATTTCTATAAAATAAATAAATTATTATATCATCTACATAATAAAAAAAAAATAAATTTTTTCCGCATATACAAAGATTTGAATTTTTAAAAACGAATATAAATTGTTCAATGTATGAAAGAACAAATTTAACGGGTCAAAAATTCATATTTGAATAATATATTCATTTTTTTAATATCACCAATACTTAATAGATCAAAAAGTTAAGAAATATAAATACTCTAATTTGATTTTTTTAAACAAATATTTATAATAGGCGGCGGGTTAAATATAATGTATTATATGATGAAATGAGTTATGATCCTTATAACTATTTGAATATTTATATTTAGTTTCATATATATTTTTTTAAATTCATAATTTTACATACTACAATTAAATTTTTTAAGATTTTAATTTGGAACATTTAAAAAAAGTTTAATTTAATATATTAAAGAATATCATAAATATTTAATAGATTAAAAAGATAAAAAATTATAAATACTAATTTGATTTTCTAAAAAGATATGTTTAATATATTTATAGTAGGCGGCGGGTTAAAAGTAATGTATTATATGATAGAAAGTTATGATCCTTATAATAGACGACATTTTAAGATTTTATGATGAGATGAGTTAAATAAGGTTTGACACTTCTAAATATTTGAAAATTTAATTCTGCAAGCAGTTTTGAAAATAATGAATAATAGATTGTGCCACAATATTTTCATAGGGATTGTAAAATGAAAATATAGACTCCACACACAGATCGAATTTGGTATTATTATATACCAAATATATGTTCATAACATATTTGATTATGTGAATAATTGGTAAATTCCGTAATTACGTCAAACCTATTTCAACAATCAATGAATTAGAATTTGAAAAAATAATTTCCTAAATTAATTCAAAATAATAGCTAATTTTTTTAACTAATTCAAAATAATCTACGTTTTACATGCGATTCATTTAAGATATTTTGATTTTTGATCTAACTAAATTATATGCACTCTCATTTTGTGGTTGTTAACATAAATTAACTCATTGTTCAAACAATATTATTTTTTTTGAAAATAATATTATTTTCCGTTTTCATATCTTTAAAAAATATATCTATAACTGAGGATTACAGAAAAATAAAAATATATTCATTCTAATATTATATATATAGATTGACATAAAAAATTAATATTAATTTTTTTATTTACTATTATAATATATCACGATTTTATTTTATAACTGTATAATATATAAATTTTGTAATAAATGAAATTCAACCCGTACTGTAGTACGGGTGATGATCTAGTTCACTATTTCACACAAGTGCAGTTACCTAATCCATGAATTAGATACTAATCGTTAAATGGAGAGCGTATATGTATGTAACTATGATTTTAAAGCAAAGTACAAAATAAATGAAAGCTAAGGAATATTTAAAAAGAAGAAAAAGCAGAGATTCCACAAAACGGCAGAAAAATAACAGAAAAAAACAGAGTTTGGTTTCCCTGGACAATGTCTTTTTCTTTTTGTCTACTTTATAAGATGCCATTTTCATTGAGTAAACAAACATTATTGTGAGATTATTAGAAAGAGACAACGTATAAAGGAAAATAAAAAAAAGGCATACAAAGACAAGAAGACTCATGAGCTTTTTCCTTCAGCCAGAGCTTCTTTTCTCATCACAGCTTTGACATAGATTTCATAGCAACATCCTAAAAGTAAAAAAAACAAGCAAGACACGAGATAAGTACTTGGAATATGTTGTGATTCCATAACTAATATTGCGAAGTACATCAGAAAAGTTTGATTGACATAAGCTCAGCTAGTAGATTATGTATTTGTATTCAACTTTCTTATGATCATACAATGAAGTGACATTTCAAGAGCAAATATGACAGAGGATGTTTGAAAAGTCTCTAAACAATTATGCTTCTACATGAGATTCAATCTACAGCTTTCTTAATAGCAAGAAGCAAGGTGAATATCTAAGTGTGCCTAGCCTAGTGAATCTCTTACTCAGATAAATTATGATTCCTGAACCATACCAGATTATGTTTCCAGATCACCAACAAAACAAGAATCTGATTAACTTTGACAAAAGTTATGAACTAAGTGATTTACCTGCAACAACAACGACTGTGAGCACATCACCAATCCTCTTCAATTTGTGCACACTTTTCTTATGAGACTTGAATCTCTTCAAAGCAGAATCTTCAGCCAAGAGCTACACGAGATTTCGATTAAGCAAACACAAACTCATCAATTATATAAGAAAATGTCATGAAACAGCATAAGCATCAACAACAACTCCAAACTCTCGAAAAATATTCTTCTCTCAAATGAATTCAGACTAACAAACATCACTAGGGATCACATGAGAGTCTCAGGGAATCTATTCAAAAACAAATTCTTCCATGTACCCTAATTAGTATCTGCAATTCACACTAGATACAGAAAACTCCACAAAAACTGAGTCCAAAATGATCCAGTACTCGATCAAATCATAAATCTAAGCCAAATCCAGATTCCAAGTGTTCATAAAGATCCTCAATCCAACCCTAGCTTGTCCAAAACAAGCAAAAGAAAAACAAAGCGAAATGTAAAAACACAAAACCCTAAATAACAAGAATAGAGATTAACTTACAGCTTTCTCTCGAGTTCCTGGTTCGATGTGGAATCCACGACGCGATATTGATAATGCATCACCCGTCTTCTGCGAAAATTTCAAAACGGGAAAATTGTAACAAAATCAAACGAAAACTCCAACATTAATCGATTAACAAGATTTGACCCAAACCTGTGAAGAAGACGAACGGAAATGAGATGAAATTGAAACGTTGTTGAGCAAAAACGCCATGCCCAGCCGAGTATCGAAGATCGATCACAGGGAAACAGCAAAACCTTCTCTTTTGCAAGAAGTTTTCGAGTTTTCCAACATGCGCTTTATACTTTAGATTTATTCTATTTTGACCCCAAAACTATTTAGTGAAACATTATCACCCAGATTTTATTACTCTCATACTCAGTCTAGTGTACTTTGAATCTCAAACATAATCTAATCTGAATTCAATAATATTCAATTTATACCAAGAAAAACATACTTCTGCAAATCTGCAATTTGGTACTGATCACAGAGATTATAAAAGACCCTGTTTTTTTAAGCTTTCAGCAAAAATGAAGCTGTCCTAAACATATATTCACATCTTTAACACAAAGATGGAGACAACAAGAAGAAGAAGAAAGAAAACACTTTCGAACGCCTCTGGATTCTCAGAAATCCAAGATTCACAACCTTTCACCGAGTATATATATACACGAATCTGTCCAGGGCGAGTCGTTTTTTTTTTCTGTTGTGTACTAACTCATTTCATATTTTTCCTAACTGTGACATACTTGAAAACAGAGAGCCATTTCGAGACACTGAAGAGCTTTGTCCATCTTTTGCTGTGAGCCTTACCGACCGAAGCATTCTTCTGTGACATGAAATCGTCAAGCGCACTCTGCAACTCAGATTGCGGTTCTTCGAAGCCTAGAATCTGAGAGCAATTCCACAGATTGTCGTAGTCTTCGTATAAACCATGTGGAGTAACTTCCATGTCAACATCATCACTGTACTGGCCACTACATTCTGCTGTGTTGTGATGATTAGACACAAAACCGTAGCCGTCCAAACTGGTCAAACTCAGACCGGAATAATCAATCCCGACACGGCTTTGAGAAGCCGGGACATTGAGAACGTTCCTCATCATGGAAACCTCATCATCATACGAGATTACTTCATTTAGGTGACTCAATGCATCAATTACCATCACCTCGGCTTGAGCCTGAAATAAGAAACAATCAGAAAATTTATGTAAACCTGAGAGTATATACTATATAGAAGAGAAACCAAGTCAAATATGTAGAGAGAGAGAGGATCAGTGCCTTTTCAATCTCAGATAACTTTTCAGCATGAATATACTGAAAATCCACGAGCAGTCCAAGTACTTGAGCTACGACATTGAAGACAACAGCGGTTTTCTTCTGAAATCCAGGAGCTTGGTAAACATGGACGCTACTATCCAGAACACATGATCGAGCATGGTCCAACGTAATTTCCCACATCTTTGAAGACATACCCGTACCAAGAACCTGCAAGGAATATCAATCATCATTAGATGTAGGCAACCTTAAAAGTTAAAAACTGGTTTTCTCATAAACCATTATTACTGGTGAAACAAAAGATTCACGTCCATAAAGTAACCACAGAAGCCTTAATTACATAGCCAGAGAGTAAGGAAGACGAATCTTACTTGTCGGAGTTTTGAAGTGTTTAAATGGAAATGAGTGAGGAAATCCTTGACAGTGTTTATATTTGAACAATTCAGTCGTTTGTGAAATGCTCCATCTTTCCCTATCTTTTCCAATCTCCATACTTCATCGAAAAGAGAAGGAGGGTGATGCTTTTTGTACACTACAAATGAAACCAGAGTTAAGAATTTTGTATATAAATAAGAGAACTTTTGTATCCAATCATATTATAAGAAGATACTCCAAAATTGGTTCAATGATATACAATGTGGGAGAATAAACTAACAAGCAATACTTACACTCTCCTCGATGGTCTCTTACGACAAAGGACTCTGTTATTGCCTCTCTAGTTTTGACAAAATCAAATTGATCCACCATCCGAACCCCGAGTCTGAACTTCCTGCTCCTAGTCCAGCTAGAGTTATCTGTAAATGAGATTTCATCCATAACACCAATGCCATCATTAAGAACCGCAAATACATTCCCATTGAGTAGAGGTTTCTTTCCTTCTCTCTCTCTTACAATGTTATTCCTGATATCCTCAGTTGTCCAGTCACTATCACTGTCGAAATCACCCTCAACAACAAAAACTTCAAGCTTCGCAGATGATGCGGGACTAGAAGAGACAATTTGGCCAGTTGAAGGGTCGATTAATCCAAATCTTATAGCTTGGCCTTCATCTCCTTCTATTCGAGCTGAAGTAAACACGGGAAGCGATAGATTGTTTAAGAATTTTAACTGTAGGTTCCTTGATTCCAAAGGATGAGTCTCTTTCTCACAAATCCTGAACATGGGAAGAAAGTGGGATATTTATAACCGAACAACCTGAAAATCTAATATTTGTTTTGAAAAGCAGTTTTACCACTTGATGCCTGCTAGATGCTTTCCAAGAGCCAATTCAACTTCTTCTTTGACCTGTTCCAAGGGATATTCATAAATTAATTGCTAAAATAAACACTCGATCCTAGGTTAAGAAACTATATTCTATTAAAAAGGTACGTACCACTTTACGAATCAAGGGCTCAAGAACGGGTTCGAGAAAATGTTTGACAGTTTGCAATCTCATTACCTCCTGAACCACACTAAATATGGATCCAAAGTCATATGAGGGAATTCTCATTAACACTAAAAATCAATTCAGAAAATCTAAACTTTATAGACAATGTTGCTTTGTCAACATCAAGTGATTGGAAAAAACAAAGCTTCTTATCAGGGAACCCAACCATGGTGACTACGAGATGTCTATGAGTACTCTTGTGTTTCAATCCAACTTTAACTTCCCAAAAAGTATATTACTCTTTGATTATAAACAAAACTAAACCTTTTTATTAATTCCACGACAAGAACACAGACTTCGTTACACAGTGATCAACTAAAGACCTCCACAAGCGGTAGAAATTCGTCTCATATCCTAATCATAGAAGCTCAATTTTATCTTAAAGAAATCATCACTTCACTACTTATTCTCTTGTTCCAACATAAAGATCACAACTTTTAGACTCTAATTGGTAAATAAACCCAATTGATTGAATCGAACACCGATGCTTATTGATTCCACCTACAACATCATAAACCCTAGAAGCTGAAACAAAATTATACCTTTTAAATCTTCTACGCTTATCCTCGGATGCGCCGCCTTTGGCTTCTTCGAATTCCCTCTTCTGTGACATCTTTCAATACCCACAAGAGCCGTTGAAATCCCCAGAGAATTTCAACCATTTACAGAATTCTTTTTATGCGTTTTGTGTTGTTTGTGTACAACAAGAACCGAAATTTCCGGGAAAGAGAAATATATATATATATACACAAAAAAAAAAAAGAGTAACGGAATTATCGTAAAATGAATCTGATCTTCAAAACAAACAAAGACCCGTACGTTGGAGTTATCTATCTAACGTTCCCCACCAGTTCTTTCAATAGCTCGTTGAACAAAAAGAGAAGGGATTGTGCAAATTCTTTGGGTGAAGGTAAGCGGATAGAGACAGAACACGGAGATTGAAGAATGGTGTTTCTTTCTCAGTGTTGGGTGTTTGTAGGACCCACTCAAACCGCGTCAGTGACGAGGAACCCCTAATTTAGTTGTTGTGTGCTTCTTCTAACTTTAAACAAAGAAAAGTTTTGACCATTATATAGTCGGTAAAGTGTGAGAAACATTGCTTGGTCTGAGCATTATGGGTATATCGTATATAGTCGGATAATAGCAGATAAGGGACATATAAAAGATCAAATAGTTGCATCTAACTATTGAGAATTTTGATTTATGTTCTTTCGAATTTTGGATAAAGACAAGGAAATTTTTTAATTTCTTAGTTGTTACGTCTTATAATTAGGGCTGCTGGACCAAATCATCAAGCATGCGGAAACAGCAATCATCCATAATTCATCCTTGTTCTTATTGTCACATGGATATGAATCAAGTAGCTTTGTCACAAAAGAACCCTGTGGATAACTTTAACTTCTACCCCAGCCATACGGTCTTGTCCTATGATATTGTTCTTTCCAAATGGGTTGACAAACAAGTAAAAAACATTTTGATGTTTGATGTGATAATTATTCTATGCCAACTAGCAGATATGATATGTTTTTCAGTTTTGACTAGTATTTGTTTTGAAACACATAGAATTTGGTTTTTATCAACTGATAAATCATGTTGAAAGCGTCTGCAAAATGATATGGTTCGTTATTGTTTTTTTTTTTTTTTTTTTTTTTTTTTTTTTTTTTTTGTTCGTTATTGTTTTCTCCTAGAGATTCTATAGTTATGTGACATATACACAAACGCTTCTTCTATACCAGTTATACACATCTTAAACAAAGATGCTGACATCCCCGTTCTCAATACCAAGACAAATCATACACATAAACGCGTGATTTGATAGAATGAGTAAAAGAAAATGACTTTGTCTTAAGTTCTTTTATAGTTAAAGCATGCACTATGCAGTCTAACACTAACCTCTCCCCACAATATATATTTAAAAATAGTTTAGTTCACAAATGCCTAAATCACATTATTCAAAAAAAAAACTTCAATGATATTCACTGAAACAGTATACAGTGTTTCACTTGGGAAGTATACCTGATCGTTGGTCTACCTACGATGTTTTAAGCTATCTATAACCAATCATCGCTTAAGCAGTTATTTTCTTCAAGCAGTTTCATATTGAAATTTGGCTATCCATTGATTGAAACCCATAATCACATGAACATTATAAAGATCAAAGAATTCAAGATATTTTATATTCCCAAAATCATCAAGAATTTATAGCCCATGAGACCAATTCTTGGGCTGGGCAAGAATATTAACAAGTGCTCAGTTGTGTGAGACAGAGGATCGATTCAAATCCGACCTTTTATATTGAGGAAACATACAAAATCAACTAGTATAATTTTTTTCTTTTTTTAGTATTTTGCCTGCCTATTGCCTGTATTTAATTTGGCAATAAAACAGGATTGGTTACTTAAAATTTTGTTAGTGGATTGATAGTATCACACGGAATGTTTTTTTGTAGAAAAATTCAGAGAGTGTGCTGTGTCCTCTGACATCTTCACACGAACTGTCTCACTTTGACCAAAAGCTTAAACTTCTAATTCTCTCCATCAGACGCTCGTTTTGTTGTCTCTTAAAGTTTGATTGTGTCCTCTCTCTCATCCACACATTTCTCTAATTTGCAAATTAGTTAACGAGAACTAAGTCAATTCAATTAATAAATCACATAAACCAGGAAAAATACATCTCTTTACTAACGATGGACATTTCGCTTTACTCATTTAAGTGAAAAAAGAAGAAGAAAATCACATCATACTCCACTCAAAATTAACTATTTTTACATCTATTTATATCAAACATAAAGCGAAAATAAGATAATAATTTCCGAAAAAGGTAAAGGGAGAGAGAATATATTAGAAAACTGCAAAAACATAGACATGTTTTTACAAACAAATGGACATTTCATTTTTGTCATTTGGTTGAAAAAGAAAAAAAAAAACAATAATCACATATTACAATTCACACAAAATTAATAATTTACACCCATTTATATCAAACAGAAAAAGGTAAAATAAGAAAACATTTTACCAGAAAAGGTAAGATCATTCAGATACCAAAAAAAAAAAAGCTAGAACTGGGAGGAATAAGCAAAACCCCCATTTTGCCCTCCTTGAAACTGAGTCCGGCTTAGCCCAGTCGCTTCAAGCATACGGTTCCACTCACGCGCCTCCGCATTTTCCCCATACTCACTCTCTCCTCCGCCTCCTCCTCTCATTGCCTGCAGAATCTTTGACGCCTTCTCCTTCACCCGTTCATTCCCATTCTTTTCCACTTCCATCAACACTTCCTCCGCTCCAGCCTCGCTCGCCAACCCCCTAAACCTCAAATTCCCTTGACACAACGTCAACAGAACCGCCACACAGTTCTCACGCGCCGCCTCGGAATCACCACCTCCGACTTCTCTAAGCTTCCCTACCAGAATCGCCACCGCATTTCCGTCTAGCATCGCGCCTTTTCCGTCAGGACAAGCCGCGAGGTTACAAAGTACTAGCAAAATCCGGCTAGTCGAATCGCCGGATCTTACCATCGAAAGCAGAGTTGGCACCGCACCAGCTCTAACCAGCCTAGTTCGATTACTCGGAATCAGCGACAAATGATAAAGCGCAAGAGCTGCGTCTTGACGCGCTCTTTCGCTCTCCGACGAACGAAGCGCATGAAGAAGCGGCTCAACCGCACCGAGAACTCCGATCACCATTTTGTTCTCATCTTCCAACGCCAAACTAAACAAAGCTCCGGCGACATGTTCCTGCGCCTCCGTCGTTCCCGATTTCAAAACATCGATCAACAAAGGAACAAATCCTGACCGTACGATCTTAACTTTGTTCTGTTTCTCCAACGAGAGATTAACCAACGAAGCGGCAGCGTTAGTCTGAACAATATTGTACCGTGAAACAAGCAGCGTTCGGAGAAAAGAGAGAATCCGATCTGTACAAAGCGAAACCCTAAGATCCTCACCAGATCTCGTCATCTTCCTAAGAAGAATCAAACCTTGCTCGTGGTCGAAAATGTCGGTACCTCTCAATTTATTGAAGATCTCTTCTTCTTCCGGTGACATCGGAGAGGAAGAGTGATCGGAAGAAGAGAAAGACATAGCGTTTCGAAATGGACTATCAGCTCCAGCGAAAACTCCAGAGGAAGAAGAAGTAGTTGAAGAAGAGAACATACTAACGGCTCGAACCGGGTGATATGGACTCTGACCAATCGTCACCGATTCAAGAGACGTCGTCGGCGACATTGAATTCTTCGATCGAGCTCGAATCGCTTCCATCACAGCATCGTAATCCGAAGGTGAATCCTCTTCTACAGGAGGGAGAATCTCAGGCTCCGGAGTCGTAGTATCCAGACCCGGACTTTGACTCGGACTCGGACTCGGATTCGGATCTTTATCCATTCGAGCACGAACCACGCCTTCGACGTAAGCGGAATCAGGAGGACGAGGATGGTCGACTTTTTGCCGATCACACCAACTGAAAATGGTGGATTTCATTGCGAGATTGGGGATGACGGTGGAGAGATCGGGTCGGGTACCGTCTAGGAGATCCGGTATATACCCTAAGTTACGACAGACTTGAACGGAGAGACGCTCGAAGGTTTGACCGGAAGAGACGACTACAGGATCCGACATGAGGAATCCGGTGATGGGGCAAAGAAACTCCGGTGGAGTCTCGTCGTGTTTGTGCTGTGGTAAAGTTGTAGTGGAGGCGGATGAGGATCTTTGGTGGAAAGAGTACCATTTCTGCTTATTTCCACCCATCGGAGAAGAAGTTAGGTTTTTGAGAGGAGGAAGAAGATGAAGAAGAAGCGGCTCCGAGCTAAAAAGCTCGAATTATTCAGTCTTTGATACAGTCCAAAAGGTTATTGATTATTAAACCGAACCACCAAATTAAGTCAGATTAAACCGGAAAACTCTTTATCAATTTTTTTTTTTTTTTTTTTTTCTTTATCAATTTGGTTTTTGTTTAATACCTAATCAAAGGGACAACAAAACGGAATTGGTAACGCTGATAGTAACGACTCTTGACTTTTTTGACTTTTTCGTGGTTTACTTTTTTGAGAATTAATATTGTAAAGGTGATGATGATCATTAATGGACACCTAATAATCACCATGAGCCATAAATAGTTTCCCATTTAATACAGTATCAAAAACTTACAAATAGGGAACAAATACTCCAAAAAGGTGGCTTTGCATTTCATTTTACCAACCTCGGATAGATTTTGCAAGGAATTTATTACGCGAAAATTGTGAGCTAATTCAAGTTTTGTTAAAGTTTATCGTAATTAGTAATTTGAGAAAAGAAAAATAGACTGAGTAAATGAGTAATGCACACACCATATGATAATTACCGGTGGCAGACGGGGTAAGGCGTGTTACATACTCAGAGAACGAGAAAATATTTAAATATACGTTCTTGATAATATTGTTCTTTATAAAGTGAAAACAAATAATTGTATTGTTTCTAGTGAGATAAAGTCGGAATAGAGCGACAGTATCGATTAGATAAAAAAACAAGAACATGGACATCCACTAAGATGTGTATTTTTTTTCTTTCTAATGCACTAAGTTATGTTTTTATTTTACCAACGCTTTGTATTTGGTTACATTACATGTATGCAACAAATACAATGAGAATAAGTAGGATAGTTTTCTTATATTTTACCATTTATGTAAGCTTAATATTTATGAAAATCCTTTTTAAGGAAGCACTGGGTAGATAGCTTTTTGAATTTTTTATTGAGGTAAATGATTTGGCAGCAATATCATAAATAAAGAAGAATATATTTTGCTCACCAAAAAAAAAAAAGAAGAATATATTTTGAGCAGCTTGAACAAAATTCCATTGACTATAACAAATAGGCCAATGGTTTATATTAGTATTGTCATTGTGTTACCGTCTTATTCAAATCCAAATATTGCATGTTGTCGATAGAATATTCTTACTAAATAATACAAACAAGATTAGAAACGTGTAATTTATTAAAATTCTTATTTGTTTGATATGGTCAGTAGTAGACTCAGGATCATTCATTTACATGGTGTTTTAAACTTGTACACTTGCAAAACCAATTGGCCTTGACTTGACTCATATTCCTCCGTTTTAAGATGATCGAGTGTTTAGCGATCCATCACCTTGGATCAATTTTCTTCTAATTAAAAAGTACAGTACTAAACTAGTGGACCGAACCCAAATGAAGCCCAGTATTGAGAAAAACATTAATGGATCGTCAAGTACTTAAAAAGGCCGTCAATCTTTAACTGTTAAAATAAACGGTTAATAGTCAACGGCGCGTTATTTGAATTTGAAAATTCGAAAAATAAACTACCCAAAACAAAAAAAGAAGACCCCACACACAACGGAGCGTTTGGAAAAAGAGGTCCCTCAGATTCCCAAATCAATCAAATCGGACGGCTCACAGTAACTCTCTCTATCTTCTCTCAAAGAGACTTTCAACCAATTTCCCGCTCTCAAGGCAAACTGCAACAGAAATTTAGGTTTTAAGGATTATTCAAAAAGTAGACCCTTTTACTTTAGAAATCTTCATTTTTAATCCCAGACTAATGTTCTTACATACTAAAACCTCTAACTCTGTCCCCATACTAATATATGAATATTCACAAATATATATAAACTCAAATACATTTGTTTTAATCAATTCAATTTCAAAATCAATCATCAAATTCACCCTTATGGCTACAGTAAAAAGGATCTGAATTGTTTTAATTGAAAATAATGAGGCTATAAGAGAAATATCAAATAGTGTAGGGGGTCATCCGCTCTCAGATTGTTTTGTTATTATTATAAGTCAGAGATTTCTCCGCTCTCACATTTTTTCAAATTGAGATCTTCAGTTTTTTTTGTTTTCTCAGTCCAAACAAAAAGAAAAAACGTTAAGAGTTTCTAAGTTTTTCAATGGAGAAATCAATGGAGAAAAGCGTGAGCTCTGCTGCTTCTGGTAAATCTTCTTCAATTCCTTTTATCTGATTATCACTTCACATTTCAGTTTTGCGTAAAAAATTGTGATTCAAAATTATCTGAATAGGTAATTCAATAAACTCGAAGCTGAGGTATCCTCTCAGATCGGCTCTTAGATCCAAGGAAGGGAAGCCTCCTGTTCCTGATTTCTCTGCTTCTTCTGTGCCCAGAAGGTACTATTGATTCAATAATGATTCTAGATCCGGATTTAAAGAGACATTGATGATGCTAGAATTTGGTCATTTTTTGAATTCTGAAGAAAATTTTTGAAAATTTCTCCTGATTCTATTGTTAGTTTAAGATTAGGAATTATGGTTTATATAAATTTCGCAGTATAATTCGTCTTTTGGATTATATTTATGTGTGTGTGTGGTTTGAATCTCAGGGGACGAGTTGCTTCTGCTGTTAGTCAGAGTACAACAGTTCTTGATTTGTCTGGGAAGAAGAGTGTTGATCGAACCAAGCTACCACCAAGAAGACTTTCGATTCCAAACAAGCCCACGAGCAATTCTTCTGTTAAATCAGTACGCAGCAGCGTCACTTCTCTTTCAGAAGTCAAGCCAAAGAGATCAGCCATTGTTGCTAGGAGCTTCAATGAAACGACAACACCTGTCTCTAGTAATCTCAGATCATCAGTGACTCGAAAGAAAGTTGAAGACTTGTCTTCCTCTTCTTATTGGCTGACTCATATCAAGCTAGCTGAATCAGTAGCGAAACATTCGATCTCTCTTGGTTTCTTTAAACTTGCTCTTCATGCTGGGTGTGAGGTAGAATTGCTAATTTCCAATGAAAGCTTTGATTTGGTATAAGTTTTGATTGTTTGTTTTGCTAACTCACTGGCTTTGTTTGTTTTGGAATCTAGCCACTTGACAAGATGAAAGAAGAGCTGAAATCATACGCTAGTCGCAATAACATGGATGGGCTTGCTGATGCTATGAAGGAACTTTCAGAACTGTACAATATCTCAGAAGAATCCAAGGAGATTCAGATTTCAGAGACCAGTTCTGTTGTAGCTGAAGAAAGAACCGTGTCTCTGAACAATGATAATGATGTCCAGAGTTCAATCTCCACTTCTGGAAATTCGAACATAACATCAGAAATCACGAAAGAAGATGCTTTGCAAGATTCAACTGTCACAGAAACAACTAAGGAAGAAGAGGTCTTGGAAACAGTAACACAAGGAAGAACTAGAAAGTCTTTGGAGGTAATCAACGTGAATCAAGAGAATGTTTCAGAGGTTGTTCAGGAATCCGAGGAAGGGCTTCGTTCATCAGCAGATGGTGTTCCAATCGTGAATGTTGTTCAACCTTCAGACAAGAAGCGTGCAAGAAAGGAGACTGTCCCTAAGAACAACCAGCCCGTGAGGACAAAGAAATCACTAGCAACCAGCTCTGCTAATTCAAAGACAGTTCCAATAAACAAGGATGATAAGTCTCAGAAGAAGTCTGAGAGGATCACTAAACCCAGGACTAAGAGAGTTCAAGAAGAGACAAAGAAGTCAATTAAGAAATCTACTGCTAAAGAAGGTAAAAAGAAAATCATACAAATGTCTTTAAAAAGCTTGTGTAGCATTTGTGGATGATGGTGTTTAATGTTCTTTTATGTAGGTGAAGTTAAATCTCTGAAGCAAACAGAGAAAATGGAGAACAAAGAAAACACGGTGAGTAAAAACTTCGCTAGTTCACATGATCGGATCGTTCTTGTAGCTAAAAGGACTAACACAAGCGCTTTCTCGTCGCAGGTTGTTGTTGATGCAGGAGAAGACATCCAGGTTTAAATGAAGAACAGAGAAGCATTTCTTCAACATATCTCAATCAATCTTTTTCTTTTGGTTTGAATGATTTGTTCAAGGTACATAGTTGAAAAGCCTTTGCAAGTTTGTTTTTAAAGTTTGGTTTCAAAGACAGAAACAAATATTTTATTTGCTTGCTTTGTAATTGTGTTAAGTTTTACTACCATCTCTTCTCTTGAAGTCTTTCTTCTACTGTTTGTTCAGATTTGGTTATTCATAGTTATCAAAATATATTTATAAGCAGAAATCTCATTCTTAAATTTAAACATCCATGTAAAATAATTCAAGGAAGATGATACTATTCAATACACATTAGTCAATACAACAAATGGAATCATATTATACATAGCTCTGCTCCACGATCTCACTTACTTTCCTGTTATATTCTCGTTTATTCTCACTGAACAACCTTGCAGCCTCTGCGTTCGCTGGTGAATCAGGGTTTGGGTCACAAAGCAAAGACTGTAAAACAAAAGGTCTTGGTTAGTTCATGCATAACCCCCACAATGCAAAAGATGCAAATGGAGAATGCAGAAGTCAAAACCTGAATTGATGTGAGAACTGCAGCAACGTCATAGATGGGACTCCACTGGTTTTGTAAGATATCCAAGCAAATGCTTCCATCAGCATAAACTGCACCAAAGTTCAAAATATCAAATTCGAATTTCGTTATTGGTCTATAACTATGCTGTTCATTGAATGCTTGAGCTTACTGTTTGGATGAAACATCCGTGAAACAAACCGAACTATCGGGGGTTTGTTCGGGTAATCCTCGGTGAACTGAAGAGTCAACTTGAAAGTACCTGATGAACACAACAGATTGGTTAGTTTCAGCTATAAGTTATAACTCATGACAAAATGTAGGTCCGAAGCAATAAGTACAGAAAGATATTTACCTCCATCCCATGGAGTGTCATCAGGTCTGCAAAGACAAGGAAGAAATAAGTTAACAAAGCCAAGTTTTGAAGACAAAACAAAGATATAGAAACACAAAAATGTTATACCCAAAGATGACAGCATTCCAATGCATGATATTGTTATCTTGTGGAGCTCCACTAATTCCCACAGGAGGATCTTTCTGTAGTCTCTTGAAATCCCACATCAGTCTCTTTCTTGCTGGAGTTGTCATTGCTGTTGGAAACCTATAAAATTCACAGACTGCATCCAAATATAAAAGATTTCAAGTTAACTCTTATGAACTCTTCTCACAAGTCACAAGTAAGAGCAATTGCATGAACTAGGGTCTAATTCTCTGATTAAAGTTTTCAACTTTCTTGAATCCCCAAAGAAGTAGAAGCAGAGACCAAGATCTACATTTCTATAACCCAAACTATTAAACTTATAAAGCTTGAGGCTTGGATATTTTAACTAGCAGATTAAGTTCGATTCAGGGATAGTGGCTGAGTCAAAATTGAAACCTTAATTCGGAAATTTAAGTAGATCAGAGTACAATCATCGATTTCAACGAGCCTTAGGATCAGATTCTACTACAATCACGTAAGAAAGATTTAACCTTCCGATGTCATATATCAAACGGAGAAAAGATTGATTAACCTAAAATTACCTGAAATTCAAAGCTGCAATGAAAGTGATTCGCAACACCAGGAATTAGGGTTTTTCCAATATTTAGCCTTCGATGAACGAAGGAGATGATTGAAACTATGAGTGGAGAATAAATAAAGTATATATATAGAGGGAGAGAGAATCAAAGTTGAGATTTTTTTCCTTTTTCTTCACCACCAAATAAAGGTAGAGAAGAAGAAAAACAGAAAGAAAATTAAAACAATGAAAAACATATATATATTTTCTTCCAAAGATGAAGAAAATATTTTATTTTAATGTTTTGAGGAATTTATTTGTCGGTTAGTGTAAAAGACAAACGTATACACGTCAATGACTCAATGGCCCAAGCGGACGAGACTCAGCAAGCTATCACCATTTAATACTATCAATTTATTAAGATTTTTTATTTATTTTTTTATGTAATACATCTGCTTTTATCTTACAAATTTCCTTTGGTGATCCCAGAATTTGATGTCAAAGATCACTAAAAAATCAATAGTTTTAATTTTAAATTTGAAAGAGTAAAAGGTAGATGATAAGTTAATATCATCCTAAATCTCTTATATTTTACTAATTTCATTATTAGTTTCCATCCATATTTTAACTAATTATTATAAGGAGGTCTTGAAAAGAGATTACTATGATTCTTCCTCATGAGTCATCAGGGTTTATAACTACCCATTAAAAACTATGGGGTCAAAAAGTTAAATAACCTTGAAATAAGAAATTATCTGTAAATATCTTAAAATCATTTATATATTTCTCGTCAATCAGGGGAAAACATTAATAAGCTAATAAACACAAAATCACTCAGAATTCGCCATTTTATTACCAATCTTCTTGAATCCTCTTCTCCAATCGTCTGATTCTCATCTTTCTCCGTTTCTTCTGGATCTTACGCAATGTATAGAGTTTTTGCGAGCCGAGCACTGAGAGCTAAGTCTCTCTGTGACAAACCATCGACCTCGCTTGCTTCTTTGACTCTCTCCAGGTTTATCAAACTTCTCATTTCTCTTTCCTTGATCTCACGAAATTCTTTCTTTCTTTTGTTAGTTGCATGTTTTTTTTGCATAAATTAATTGGCTTTCCATTTGTTTAAAATGATTTACCTGGAGTTTATATTAAAAAAGAAAAGACAAGACTTTAGCAAGTTGGTGTTTTAAAAATTTGAGATTTGGATGATCGAGTAGCCGCATCTGCTCAGTGTCTATGAAATGAAGAGACTGTTAGCTGATTAGAGTTTAATTCTCTTTCTGATTACCATTTGTGGTGTCTGAGAATGTGATCCATTTAAAAGAGTGTTCCTTTGACTTAATTTTTGTGTTGTGTGGATTTTGCAGATTGAATCATTCCATACCTTTTGCTACCGTAGATGCTGAGGAGCTATCTGGTGCTCATCCTGCTGAAGTACATAGCTTTGGTATGTCTTTACTTCTCTCACTGATTCTTTGAATTCTCAGTGAAGCTATGGAAATGAGTAAAAGCTTGTTGGTTAAACGCTGTTGTGGAGTCTCTGAGCTCTACTTTCATTGTTATGTCTATAGTGCAGGGAAAGTGGATAGGATCGTCAAATCATAACACGCTTCTAGATCCTCTAAATGGAGAACCTTTTATTAAAGTTGCTGAAGTGGATGAATCAGGAACTCAGGTTCGAGCCTATCAAAAACCGTTGATCATATTACAGCGTGGTATCTGTGTCAATTCTAACTTTTATCTTACCTTTGTTCTATGTTGTAGCCATTTGTGGACAGCTTATCCCAGTGCCCGAAACATGGTCTCCATAACCCTTTCAAATCTCCAGAGAGGTATGATTTGCTTGAGTTTTGATGAATTCATTTCTTCTTGTTGTGTCCTTTCCCATTTTGTTCTATTAGATGAAGGATACTAATGGTCTTGTTTTCTACAGATACCTTTTATATGGAGATATCTCGACAAAGGCAGCTCATATGCTCGCCTTGCCTAAGGTAACACATACCTTTCTGTTGAATGTCGAGTCTTGAATAACGTGCATACTGAGCTACTGGTCGTTTGTTATTGTATTCGTGTATATACTATTAGGTAGCTGATTTCTTTGCGAGGTTAATTCAAAGGGTTGCTCCAAAGAGTTACCAGCAAGCAGCTGGAGAAGTCTTTGTCACACGGAAATTTTTAGAGAACTTTTGCGGTGATCAGGTACATGAATCTTTTCACCATCCTCGTAATCAGTTTCAACAACTTTGTAATTCTTGAAGGGTTACCAACCAGATATTTCATTTCTGTGGCTGAATTTCCGAAATTACATCTTAAGAATGTACGTTTAATGATTCCGCTTCACTTTCTTTTATCAGGTGCGGTTCCTAGCTCGGTCTTTTGCAATCCCTGGAAATCATCTTGGGCAGCAAAGTCATGGTTACCGTTGGCCTTATGGTCCTGTAAGGCATTCTTCCTAGATGGTTGTAATTGGTGACAAGTCTGTTTTGTGCTTTGTTTTTGAAATCATAGATTTGTGATGCAGGTAACGATTGTTACACCATTTAATTTTCCACTTGAGATTCCACTACTTCAGTTGATGGGGGCATTATACATGGGTAACAAACCTCTTCTTAAAGTTGACAGCAAGGTATTAATTATTCTTCACATTAATATAGTCTTCCTAAGTGTATTGGTTCCATATGTCTGAAAGAATACAATGTTACTTGGATAGGTAAGCATTGTAATGGAGCAAATGATGCGACTGCTCCATTATTGTGGTTTACCCGCTGAAGATGTTGACTTTATTAATTCTGATGGGAAGACAATGAACAAGATATTGTTAGAGGTACTTGGTCAGAATTCACAAGTCTAGTGTCTCCACGGTTTTTTTAGTTAAGCTAATTCAGTGTCTTGTCTATTTGTAACTTTTTTCAGGCGAATCCACGGATGACCCTCTTCACGGGTAGCTCTAGAGTAGCTGAAAAGTTGGCACTTGACCTTAAGGGTCGAATCAGATTAGAAGATGCTGGATTTGATTGGAAAGTCTTAGGACCAGATGTTCAGGAGGTTTCTTTTTGTAACCTTCCTTCTTATATTTCCACAAGTCTCTTTCGATGTTTTTATAACCCTTGTTTCGGTCTCTAATGTCAGGTTGATTACGTTGCCTGGCAATGTGATCAAGATGCATACGCGTGCAGTGGACAGAAGTGTTCTGCACAGTCTATGCTTTTTGTTCATGAGGTTGGTTTGATCCTAATTTTTCTGGTGAAACTACTTTGAATCCTTTTGGTTTCTTCTGTCTTTGTTGTTTTCAATGTGTTTTTTTCTTTTTTTCTTTTCAAACAACTCTGCAGAACTGGTCAAAAACCCCTCTTGTTTCCAAATTAAAAGAACTAGCGGAAAGACGCAAACTGGAAGACTTAACAATTGGTCCTGTCCTCACAGTGAGTTTCATTGTTTCTCCATCTGTTGTTAATCATCTGATGAGACTGTATCATTAAAACTTATTCTTTCATTATTGTTTCAAGTTTACAACTGAGGCAATGTTGGAGCACATGGAGAATCTGCTTCAGATTCCTGGCTCAAAGCTACTTTTCGGTGGCAAGGAATTGAAGAATCATTCGATTCCTTCTATCTATGGAGCTTTGGAGCCTACAGCAGTTTATGTTCCAATTGAAGAAATCTTGAAGGATAGTAAAACCTACGAACTCGTCACCAAAGAAATCTTTGGACCATTTCAGGTTAAACCTTGACTTCATTTGCTTTGTCTATATGATCTGTGTTCTTTTACTGAAATATATAGTGCTGTTTCTGTATCTGTTATCCAGATTGTAACGGAATACAAAAAGGATCAACTTCCTCTAGTGTTGGAAGCATTGGAGAGGATGCATGCTCATCTAACTGCAGCTGTTGTTTCAAACGATCCCATCTTTCTTCAGGCAAAGCCTTTCACCATCACCATCATCAATCAATCTCGTCTTCTCTTTGCCCTCGATATTGATGTAACAAATCTGTGCAGGAAGTAATAGGGAACTCAGTGAATGGGACTACATATGCTGGACTAAGAGGAAGAACAACTGGAGCTCCTCAGAATCACTGGTGAGAGAAATAATCACACTCCCAAATTAAAGTATCTCTTTCTATTTCTTTGAGGAAAAGTTAAAATATCATACAAACACAGGTTTGGACCTGCGGGGGACCCGAGAGGGGCCGGGATAGGGACACCAGAGGCTATAAAGCTGGTCTGGTCATGCCACAGAGAGGTCATCTATGACTATGGTCCCGTTCCACAAGGTTGGGAACTCCCTCCATCTACTTAGAAGTGGTATGTCCACTAATAATAAATAAACTAAGATCTTAGTTTGCTGTTGCATCGAATAAATATGAGTTTTGTAGTTTATCTCTACGAGTAGTTTCCGTGTGAGGGAATAACAGCTTGAAACATGAAGTTTTCAACGACGTTGACTTAGTCAAGGGGTAGAGGGATTAAGAGAGCGAGAGAGAGAGAGAGCTATTGTGAAACTCAAAGGACAGAATCTCTGGTAAAAATAATGGTTTTTCTTCAGCTCAAAGCCAGACAATGATACAAATGTTTTTGAAAGAAGAGTGAAGAAAAAAAACAAGATTAATAATGTAGCTAAGACCCTAATCTGATCGATCGTAAATAATCTATTGAACAAATTTTTTCATCACTATCATTGGGAAACAAATAAAAAGGGACTACTCTATGTTTTGGAGACTCCTCGAACATGCCCATTTGTTTACCAGTCCTGATCATTTTGGTGTTGGTAAACAGACAAATGCAACCATGGTGATTGTGTCCTTGAAACAAAACCCCAAAGTGATCTGCAATGGAGATTTAGTGTTGTACTTTATGTCCAAAAGCTTTGATGATGTGAACTAATAACTTGTCTCCGGTTATACTTCTGACTCTTTGTATCAGTTCGCTCCGCGTAATTCTCCTGTTCTGTTAAATCCAAAGGAAAGTAGCAATTAGAATGTGAAATCACTTGAAAAGATAATGGAAGAAGAAGCAAACAACAAACCACTTACTTGTTGATCTTTGTAATGTTTCTGAATGACAAGTATTTGAGAAGGAGGTAGAAACTTGGACAATGCTTTGATCAAAACAGGAAATGCCATCCATGGTGATCTCAATCTCTTTGAACTTCCTGCAAAAACAGTAATAACTATGTCAAAAACCAGAATCAAGAACAAGAAAATTCAACATTTGAGAGTTTGGTTTTGGTTTTGCTTACGAGTTAAGTTAAATGGAGCTTTGATGCAAACAAGAAACTCAGGCAACACGTGTGTGTTCATGTGTGTACTCCACACAATATACTTCTTCGGAGAAGCTAAATCATCCACACCAGAATCAAACTCTGGTGAGCTCGGACATGATCTAGTGGAGCCATAAGGAACAATCTCTGATTTTCCAAGTAGAACTCTACAAAGCAACAAGAATCTCATCCCATCTTCTGATTCTGAAGCTGAATCCTTCAAACTAATCAAAACAAACATCAAAAATGAGATTTTGAGACCAATAAATTTCGAAAAATCGAAACTTTCAGAAATTCAGAAAAAACTTACCAATCAAGAGGAGAATTATCCGGCGAAAGATACAATCCACGGCCAAAAGATCCATCATTTCTCAGCGGTTCGCTAAACCCATACTCTAAAATCGTTTTAAGCTCTTGTTTCGCAACAGAGCACCAACCGTATTTAACCTTAGCTCCTCCACCACCGTCTCCGCCGTGTTTCATCTGCACCGCCTCTTGAAAAATCTGAAAAGTCTTGAGCTTTGCACGAGATCCAACAGTCCTGAATCCGTTTCTAAGAACAGAGATAATCTGGCATCGATCACCGAGACCAGATTTACAGTTACGATAGATTAAATCATGAGCTTTATCTCCTTCAAGCAATTCCATAAGCCCGAGCTCGTCAGCAAAAGACCGTCGATCAGAAGAATTATCGCAGCTTCCAGATTCAGAGATCGTTGATCCTTCTTGCTCTGAATCATCAAAACCAGCTTCAACTTGGGTTCTCACGTAATCCATTGAAAGATAGGAACTTTTGAATCAACAAACTAAGAAAAATATTTAAGCTTTTGAATTAGTTTTGTTTCTTGAGAGAGGAAAAGAACTTGAGCTCCAAGTACATATTTATAGCTATGAATAGGGAAATTATTACAGATATGGAAAAAAGAACCGCCTTTTGTTTCTGTTACCGTCGGTTTTGTATTTTTATTTACTTTTATATAAATCAAAATTCAGAGTTTGCTTGTCTTTTTCTCCGTGGAGAAGACGTAAACAAACATTTAACACATAAATATCTTTCTTTTTTATTACATAAAAATATTTTAGTTAATTTTTTGTAAGTTGCGGCCGCAAGCTGTTTTTTTTTTTTTTAATGAAACCTTTGATGGGTCTATTCCGTGTTGGAGTTCGTTAAGCGGGTTGGCTGGTAAGAAAGGACGAAAGTACCCTTTGAATCAAGTGGGGCTTTTAGGTAGAAGGGAAATGACGAAGTTACCCTTTGAATCCATTTGCTTGCGGACATCGAGAATGTGTTGTACGAGTCCTTCTTCTTTGAGAGGACACGACCGACACACGTAACACGTTTTATACGTAACTATATCAATTTCTTTAATGAATTTTAGGTCAATATTATTTTTATGTTAGAAACTTAGAATCACATATGTACATAACTAAATTAATCGACAAACAATGTGAATGTGATTACAATGAATAGGTTAAATTAGATTAGTATAGTTAACTCACCTAGATCGTGTTTGACTTGCATCATTTCAATCAATGTCTTCATATAAAGTTATTAATAACAATATATCATCTTCTAAGTATGAACTCTTAATTTTCAATAGATTGAGCTCCTTATACGTTTTAAAGTCATATTATAAGCATAATTAAGTCTTATGTAAAAAACACATAAGTAATCAATTTGTTAAAAACATATAGTAAAAAATCTTAAATTAATCCCAAAGGAATGTTAAATAAATTGGGTCTTCAATAGGTAACTCTGTTTCATCAATGATAATTTGTTATTGGGCCATACTTCATTTTATGAACGATGTAAGCCCAGTTAGTTAATACATAAATACTAATACAGTATGAACATTGCGAGACAATTAAAAACCAATCCGGTAAGGAACATATATATTGGATTTCGGTTCATTTTAAAACCGAAAAAACCGGTTAGGGTTTACTTTTCGTTTATGTTCTTGCCTTAAAAAATGTAAAAATTTATTAAAGTTTCCTGTTCCTAAATGATTAAGGAGTAGGAAATAATTTTGATATATTAAGATTGTGGACGTCCGTGAATTAGACGTAGTAGGCTAGTAGCTATGCGTATGTCTCTAGCTTTGATTTCATATTTTCAATGGAAGAAGAGGTCTTCAAAGGCGATGATGAGAAGAGGAAGAAAAAGAAGAAGACAAAGAGGATACGATTTGGTAGCGCCGGAGATTACTTTGGATCTCCAGATCGAGATTCTGACTAGATTGCCTGCTAAATCGCTGATGAAGTTCAAGTGCGTCTCAAAGCTCTGGTCTTCTCTTATCCTTTCCCGATATTTTAGCAACTGTTATCTTACGGTTGCATCTCCACTGCGACCACCACCTCGTCTATACATGAGTTTGGTGGACCACGAGTGTAGTTCAACGGAGGTCTGCCATAACCCTCGCGAGTCTGCACTGCTATCATTATCATCATCGTCTAGTCAAAGTGCTACATCTTTCGACCAAGGTTTGACCATGCAAGGGATGGGAGGACGCAATATGGTGATTCTTCGTGGCTTGATTTTATACATTGTTTGCGGAAAAGCGTGTATCTATAATCCCACCACCAGACAGAGCGTAACCTTACCCGCCGTCAAATTCAATATCTTTGTTCAAGGAAATGACCATAGTGTACTCTACTTCTTGGGACACGATCCTGTTCTTGATCAATAAAAAGTAGTTTGCAATTTTGTGTCATCCTCACAAGATTTGGACATGATAACCTCGGAGCATTGGGTCTTCGTACTAGAAGTTGGAGGTTCGTGGAAAAAAATTGAGTTTGACCAACCTCATATTCCTACAAGACCTGGACTGTGCATCAATGGAGTTATATATTATCTTGCCTTCACTAGTACGTCTCAGGATATCGTTGTCAGCTTTGACGTTAGGTCTGAAGAGTTAAATGTAATCCAAGCGCCTCTTGTAATGTCTGCATATGGCGACTATGTCGATTTCATAGAGTATGGTGGAAAACCAGCTATTTTTTATCATACGAGTTTTAAACAAAACGGTTTGGTGGACTTATGGGTCTTGGAAAATGCTGGAAACTGGTTGATGAGATCTTTGAGTTTGCAGCCTTGTCAGTTGCATTTGGTCGATAACGACATTGATTTGACGGTGGAAGGTACAAATCAAAACGGCGAGGTTATCTTCGCTCCGTCTGAGTTGCGTTCCCCTTTTTACATTCTCTATTATGATATACAGAAAAATGATTTGAGGAAGGTTGAAATCAAAGGAATGCCGGACCACGGGTTTAATAGCTCGCACGACTTTTCTTTCAAGCTTATGGATAAGAGTGAAAGTATCATCCACTTGGAAACTTGAATACCATTACTTGTTTTTTTTCTCCCCCAATCTAAGATTATCAACAATTCACTGTTCCTTTAAATAATACAATGATACTATTGATTTTACTTATGTTCCAAGCCGTTTTCTTAGGTTCTTTGCACCCAAATATATGTTTTCGATTCAGAAGCCCATAACTCAATCAATGGTAATATGTTGTCATTGGGACACACATAAACAGCAGTCATTACTATGACTTAATGTTTAATTTTTGTAGAAAACATTTTCAATGCATATTGTGGTGTCACTATCGTACATGAAAACTCTTACATCTATACATAGGAGTCGACAGCAACTGGGAAACGTGAATCTCCTGTTTTGCTTGTTGGAGAAACAATCTCTTCAAAATAGATGTAAAAGTTTTCATGTACAACTCGAAACGGCGAGGTTATCTTAGCTCCCAACAGATGTCTTCCCCTGATTACATTCTCTATTATGATCTGCAAAAGAATGATTTGAGGAAGGTTGAAATCAGAGGAACATCAGACCACGAGTTTAGTAACTGGTACATGTATCTCAGGTTGATGGATGAGAGTGAAAGCATCATGCACTTGGAAACTTGAATGTCATTTTCTCCTTCCAAGCTAAGATTATCATTATATATACTTTAATAATACAATGAAACTATTTATTTTGTAATTTTAAATTTTACTTTTTGGGGCATATTTTATAGAAACATTGTGATACAATGAAAACCCATCATATAATCTTTCACATTTTGGGAGGAGCAAATTCGGTTCAGTTCACTTTAAAACCAAAAAACCGGTTAGGGTAAATTGAATATTGTGCAAACACCTCTCCAAGTGATCTATCTTCTAATACAAGGCAATGAACCATCGTTGTCCTTTAAATTTATATGTCACAACTTTAAGTTTGGGTCTCTGCTGCTGCTTCTTCTTCTTCTTCTTCCTCTTCTTTTCCTTCTTCTTCATCAACGTCAAGCCCTAGAGACTGGTTTAGGCACTCTTGAGCTTCTTCTAGCACAGATTCATCTGCATCGGTTGCGTATAATATCTTCTTAACCGCTACCACTATCTGCACATATTTGTGGTTTCAACAAAACATATATGATTTGAGTTCAAACTAAGAAAAAAACAAATACAACAACAAAAAAAAAAAGCATTGCTATGACATTTACCGGAAGATCATCAAGTTCAGGCGTCTGACATAGTATCTCTATATCCCGGAGCTTAGAGAAGTAAAAATCTCTTTCTTTTTCCAAGAGATCAACCGAGACCTTGAGATCTGATACCTGGTATTGTGAAAGAAAGTTACATTACAAGTCTATCTTCATTATCAAGAAGAAAAGAATGAAACCGAATGGTTAAGAGTGATGATTAGATGTTGATTACCTCTTTTGACAGAGCTTGCACTTCGGCTGATGAGTTGCTCCCACCTCCAATTGCATGTGATTTTGCTTGCTTGGGACCTAGGAGTTATAATTTTCAATGACGTTGAGAAACTTCTAAATTGGATAGGCAAGCAATAGGATAAGAGAAGCTAATTCAAAGGGCAGACCAGCTGGTTTGTTGGAAGTAGTGACTGGAGGATGATGCATATTGTTTGTTTGCAATGACTTTGAGATCTTACTAGATCCCTTTACGCTTTTCTCTCTGCCACCTCTTGATCTTCGTTCTACTGGATTATAATTCCTACAATGATGAAACCATTGGATTGATTGTAAGAAGACTTTTAGTTGTTGTTAGATAAAAAGTTGAGAGAATAGGTAGAAAAGTCCATACTCGTTCATAATGCCGCCATTAATGGAATCGCAAAATCGTTTCAGCCATTGTAGAAACTCCAAATTGTCTAGTGGTCGGCCTTTGACAAGCCTGTTGACTTCCAATGGCTAAGACAACAGCATTGTGAGTAATATATATATATAATGGAAGGCATTAGCACACAGTACATCTTTATCCCAAGCAAATGTAGCAAAAAAAATGATATATACGAAAAAGAATTACCTTTGTAATTTTCAATTTGGTGAAGACTTCTTGCATAACCTTGTAGTTTTGTATCATTTCGTACTCGTTCTTTGCTTCAAAGTTAACCTAAAAAGTGGGAGATTTAGACTGCTCTGTGAAAGAAGCAAACAAGAGATGTCGATAAAATGTGAATATAAAAAATCACCTTGTGCATTGGCACAACTCCTGGAAAGGTCATGTCCAACATTTGACATTGCACAGCACCAGATGCAGCCTAGCAAAACCCAACCACAAGCCACTTAGATAAACAATCTCACAAGCAAGACGAATTACAACAGTTTCAATGCTTACTAGCAAGTGTATCAGTTGAAATCAAACAACTAAGAAAAAAAAAATCTTTTTTAACTTTGGAGGTCCAAAACAATAACACATTTCAATATCAAAGCTGAAAAATGTAGCTAAACATTGAATCATCAATTACACACATAGCAAGAACCATCAGAGAATCAATGTAATTGCATCTTAACACACCCAAAAACACCTTAACTCTCAGACAGACAGAACCAAAGGTAAACCATTTCCCCTACACATTTGTATACAGATCAGCAATCTCATTTCAAGAAATCGAGTGAGAGCAACAACACCGACAAAACTGTTAGACATGACAAAAAAAATCAAATCCCAAAAACCCTATTCCCCCAAATCACCCAACAAAATTGCACCAGATCAACACTACATTTCTCAAAATCAGTCCTCTTAAGCCACCGACATTATCAAAAGAAGACCCTTTAAACCAAAAGGCACGTCCTTTATCAATCAATTCATTGACAATGCTACACAATGAAGAAATCTATCAATGGAAACACACATGCAAAGATTACAAAATCCAACAAAAATTGATTAAAAAAAAACCTCTTCGATACGAGAGAGATTGAGATGAAGGCGGTCATTGATCCAACTGAGAATCTCGTTCCTTCCAACAAAGTAAGCACTATCCATCATCCCAATGTTCGTCGCCATTTTTTTGAATCCGTCTCTAAAACAAAACAAAACAAAAAAAGACTCTTTTTGTTTTGTTTGTTGTTGTTTCTATTGGAAACCCAGATGCAGCAATGTGATAAAAAGGTAAGAGAATCAATTTGGTTAGGTGAAAGAAACCCAAATTTAAGAAAAAAAGGATTTTTTTTTAATATCTAAAGGAAAAAAAAATGATTCGATCTGTTTTGGGGGTTTTGCTTGTTAGGAAGAGAAAACTGAAGCAGAGAAAAGGACGGAGAAGCGAAGGTTAGAGATAGAGAGAAGAGAATTTAATTTTTTTTTAATTAAAACTTATTTTAGTCGTTACGATGTCTTGCGTGGACCGCATTTTTTTTACTCTTAAGTCTTAACTTATTTGATACGGATCAATTTTTTTTACTCTTAACTTAACTTATTTGATACAGATTAAAAAATTGAAGATTTATCTTAAGATACATCTATGTGGATAAATTACTCTTAACTTATTTGATACGGATGCTTAGTAATACATATGACCGATGCTTAATAGATTAAGCTTTGAATTAGCTAAGCTTTGTTTTTTTAAAATCAAAGAAAGAAACAATTTTGTTTATTTTAATGTCCTCAAAAGAGGCATTTTCTTCTTCATGGTTCGTTTCGGTAACAGCTAATAACTATTGTATGCTGATTTGGACTGTAACTAATATGTAACGTCTTCCCACGTGGGTGTTGCCTTTTAGTAACATGGTAAATATACATTTCTTATGAAACATATCATTTTCAGTTTTATTTTTTTCCCCAATTGAGAATCATTTTTGTTGCAATTTTCTTCTTTTCATTTTTTTTTTGGTTACACAATACATATTGAATTGTTCTGCATTCTGTAACGTTTTTTCAGGTTTCTCATTTTTAGACTTTTTTAGCAAATTTTAGATCAGGGCATTAAAATTAGTTGTCTATTTTACAAACAAAATATATGAAGGTAGAAAATCAATTTCTTTTGTTAACAATAAAGTAGAAAATCATTTAAGAATGACAACATCAAATTAAACATACTTTCGATGAAAAGAAACATTTATTTCCGTGACAGACTTCACATGACCTATGTAAATGCTATATGTGTAAATAAATTAATTAGCTACGGTTCAAACACACAAATGTTTGGTAACGTGGTAAGAAAACGAATATATGGCTAGTACACCTACTCAATTCTTCTTCTCTTTACAGCTACAAGATTTTGGCTTTTACCATTTCTTTAGGATCGATTGTTCTTGAAACTGCATGCTTTTTTAAAAAGTCGACGAATATTGAAGAAAATATATATAATCCGAGCCCGTGAGCTACGCTATCAAAACCTCGTTTCTGAATTCTCTGATCATTGGTCGAGAATGAAAGCAATATACCATACTAAATTGGTCATCAAATTAATACCTAACTCGTGTAGCTTGTACTAGCTAGTCTAGTCTCTTACCTTTTAGTTCACTATAATATTTTTGCTCTGATCTTATTACATAAACATAAATCACTCTTTAACTTTTATTTTGATATTGAAATTTCTTAGCAGTAACAACAAACTTCATAAAACCCGAAAACGAAAAAAAGAAAAGGAGAAAAAACAGTATACGATACACTAAGATCGGTAACGATATTCAGCTACAACCAGCAGGAAGTAGTTTACTAGTAGCTATAGGTGTCATCAAAAGCCGAGTGACCAACATATTTGGCTGATGTATCCACCTGAAAATAGAAACGTTCAAGAAACTGATGAGTCTCATAGTTCGAACATTTAGGTCACAAATAGGGGTCTTAGAGGTCATACCGAGCTCACAATCTTTTCCTGAGGCGCACCGGAATCATTTACTGGAGTAAATTTTCCAGCGGCTGCTCCTAAATCGTCATCCTTCTTGGCTGGCACGTACCATACGTTAACAGTATGTGGGCTTAAAAGGAATGAACGCACATAGTGCTCGTAGAGATAAGCAGCGCCGCTCATGCCCGGTAAGACCAACCAACTAGTTAGGGCTAGCTTGGCGTATGGATATAATGGGATCCTGACCATAACACAGCATAAAACTCGAAACTTTAGTCTATAGAATTGAATCTACGAACCACTGTTACATACAGCACAGTTTCTCTCACGACTCCTCAAAAACCTAAAGCACCTTACTTGGACTTCAAGAAAGTTAAAGATAGGTAATTAGGGATCGGACTCATCTCCAAAACAACTTCTAAGCATTTTTCACATAACAAAATTTGTCGGTGAAATCCAATACATTCATCTATCATAAGTTCTAGGATCCAACGCTATACAGTGATTAGAAACAAACGTATATACAACAACCTTACTCTGTCTGCACAAGTATAAGCTTGCGCATCAAGAAAGCTTTAGATTGTGTGTGAAATTTACCAGTCAATGACTCTGTAGAAAGTGAGCTCAAAGAGTTTGATAAGTGAATAGAGAGCCCAATACGTCAACCATTGTTTGTCGTCTCCATGACTCCTCGACTCTATTGCCCTCACTGATGCATATCTGTATAAACCAAAATCTTAGTTAAAAGAAGACTCAGGCGAACAAATTTGACAGAGAAAGTTATACAGAACTTACAGAGGATAAACCAAGCTAATCACAGGTCTGCACATTAAAAAGGATCAAATTAATGGAAAAGTTAAAAGGAGATCGAAAAATTTATAATTAGGTTACAAATTACGTCTTAAATTACCCAGCGATGACATCGAAGTTCTTAAAGATGACCTTCACTAAACTTCCGATACCGGAACTCATTTTTGCAGTTGAACTTTTTTTTTTTAATCACACTCTCACCACCGCCTTTTGAGTTTTTCTTAGCTTTCTCTGTTTGTGTTTTGGACAAGACTAGTATATGAAGTAAGTAGGGGTTGGGAACACGTGTCCGTGACTATGAGAGGAGTCAAGACGTAATTTAGCCACGTGGCTTGATCTGGAAGCTGAATAAGTAAAGCTGGCAGTAGTTTTCTGACCGTTCGATTTCATCAATCTCACATTTCTCTGTTTCTCTGTCATGTGTTCTAATAAAAGTGAATCGATTTAAACTGATTGGAAATTCAATTTGGAAACAGGAAACAAAAGAAGCCTTTAATTTAGATCAAAATTATTTTTTGGTCGTAATCCAATGCATTACGTGCCACTAAGTCGGTGGATAATGACACGGCAGCAATATATTGGGGTTGTGTGACGATTGTCGAGTTTGAATAACAAAATCCAAATGATTACACACGTCATAAAGACTCTTCTCCAAGCAACTATTAGATTGATGAACAAGGTTATTTGACCAAACTATTTAACGATGTTTCTTTTTATCCCCACTTGGTCTATATGCATAAAAGTACATGTTTCAAGCAATACTCAATTCCAAAGAAGAAGAAAAAATGGATGAAGAAATTGAGAACAAAGTGATACTCTATGGATCATTCGCGAGTCCTTACAGCAAAAGGATTGAGTTAGCCCTCAAGCTTAAATCCATACCTTACCAATTCGTACAAGAAGATCTCCAGAGCAAGAGCCAAACCCTTCTCCGGTACAATCCGGTTCACAAGAAGATCCCGGTTCTCGTCCACAACGGTAAACACATCTCTGAATCCTTATTTATCATTGATTACATCGACGAAACGTGGAGAAGCGGACCAAATATTTTGCCTGAAGACCCTTATAGAAGATCCAAAGTCCGGTTTTGGGCTAACTACATCCAATTACACGTAAGTAAATCTGATAAACCCTAACTTTTAATTCAAGTTTTGAACTTAATATATATACTGAATTTTTATAGAATAAACTTTTCTGCAGCTTTACGATGTGGTGATAAAAGTGGTGAAAAGCGAAGGAGAAGAGCAAGAGAGAGCTCTCACAGAGGTGAAGGAGAAGCTGAGAGTTATAGAGAAAGAAGGGCTTAAGGAGATTTTCCCTGACACTGATGGTGAACCGACCGTGACAAACGAGACCATGAGCCTCGTAGACATTGTGATGTGCACTTTGCTTAGCCCTTACAAGGCACACGAAGAAGTTTTGGGTCTGAAGATTATAGACCCAGAGATAGTTCCTGGTGTCTACGGTTGGATCAATGCTATTAACGAAACCAGCGTGGTCAAAGATCTAAGTCCTCCTTATGAACAAGTCCTAGAGATTCTTAGGGTTTTCAGACAGATGTCTCTCTCCCGTTCCTGAAACTTATCAGTCTTAAGTTTTGGATTGCCTGAAACTTATGTTCTCTGTTTTTTATATGTTATTCTCTGTTTTCGAGACCTTTCCAGTGGTCTTGCCTCAACAGACAACATCATCAAGCCCAAAATAAAACGGTGGGTAAACACAAGTATCAACGGATTCGAGCGAGTGAACCCAATACGTTAAAGAGTTTTGGGCCTACAAGTTTAGAGGCCCCCATTTATAAACTATTTGTGCCATCAGGCCCAAGCCCATTTTTGAAATTCTCAATGGTGATAAATAAAGTCGTTTCACATTTTCACTTGGTAAACATAAAATAGCTAAAAAAATCTGAAAACGCGACTAAAGAAGTCTCAAAATACCTAAATTTCAATGAATGGGATAAGTGTCGAATATTCAACTTCTAAAAATTCTTTTCTCTTTGATTCTTTAACTTATAAGGTTGTTGTTAAGGATTTTTATGAAATTGTCACAGGACATAAAATATAAAGTACAAAATCCATATATATGGTCCCAATTTTATGTGTCGGTTATTGGTGGATCATATATTGCCAAACCTAGCAACTATTTTTAGTCTGAGCATCCTCATTGAGATTAAGCCAACAAACTAATTTCTCCTAACTATTAAAACAAACTTTTAGTTTGTTAGTTTTTATTGCTAATAGGTGTTCAAAACAATAATTTCCATATTTCAAAGAAAAAAATGTAGGTAATTAATTTATATATTATTTTCCAGTATTAAATTTAGCTTAACAAGTTCAGTTGTTTGAAGATCAACATAAAGTAAATTAATTACTCGAAATCAACAAATCACTATTGCGCCACACTGATAGAAACCATCTCCCTATTTTACATTGACAAAATATTAACATATTCAAGCTATAAAAATCGTAGGTGTATGTATGTCAATGGAATTGAAATAAACCATAAATGCAATCAAATGAATAAAATTTCGTTTTCGGAACTTGGAAATCCAGGCTCTATTTTCTCAATAATGTGAACAAATTCAAATGGGAATTGACTTATACTCATCGAGCTCATAACTGCAAAATAGTCAACTATGAAACCCCTCTAAGATCATGCCACGTTCAAAATTCTATCACGTATGACATATGTCGATACTCTATATGGTCCCATACGAAATGCCTCCCCATAATAATTATAATATGATTCAATCGCCAATAATTTGTATATTTTCAGAAAAAAATGCATATACTATATGAAACTAAATCTGAAACTACAATTAAATAATACACCGCCCATTATGTATCGAGTAAATTTGAATTGAAAGATTTCGTACCTTAGAGATTATTGTTGTGATCTTCAATAGCCGGTCAACACGTGTTAACGTTCACGAACTTTGTACAAGTAGTGGAGAAGCGTAAGTGTTCGCAAATCAAATCGTTTGAGCACCAAGATGACGACGTGTGGCAGATGTCCAATTATAAGAGGAGACCACAAGTTCTAATACGATAAAATATTGCTTTTGAGGTGGGACCTACGACATACCTAATTCCTTTTTGAGTATTTTCTTCTGTCGTCTTGTGTGCTTTGACATGCCTTGTCCTAGATCCTCGCTTTCTATATCCGTAGAAAGCTAGGTGGTTTGATCTCTACCGTACACGTGGTCATTCTTCCATTGTTAGTAAATTGCGTGGCAATTGAAGCGTTGCATCGGTGTATAAATGGTGGGAATGATTTAGAAGTTAAAATAAAAATGATTGAAGAATGTATCGTTTATCTTTTTTCGTTATTGTTTTTTCATATGATTGTAATTTTTATCATATCATGTGTTCGAATCCTAGCAGCTTTGATGATGGATATGGTGCTTAAAAGAATTCATCACAATTTTGAAGGCAATTTCTGATATGTTTTTGTCCACACACGATAATCCTTCAAGCCAAACAGTTGATATACATGAGAAATCGAATTTTAGAGTGTTACTATGAATCTTTTACAGTGTCAATCAATGCAATATTTATATATATAAAAAAATTGTTAATGTACTGTTTTGTTCAAGGAGAGAAAGTGTCAAAATCAATACATAGTAATATGGAAGGATTAGTGTAGCACTATAAGCAAATCCATAATTCAACCTTAGATTCAAATTCTTCCAAAGAATTAGTTTCTACGCAGATACATTTTTATTTTATTTTTTGAAAAAGGGTTGATAACATTTGTTGGAATAGAAAGACTAATCTATTTGACATGGACCACTAGGAAGAAGTGTTAATAGTAGTATTTCATTTTCGAACCGCTAAACTTTAATATGAGAGGTGACTGGATTTATTTGTCTTGCTGAATTCGAAGTACTGCCAAATTGCTTGATTTTATTGATAAGAAATGGTAATTCAAACGAATATATACCAGGAAGATGTCGTTTTTCCAATAATAACCTAGATAATTGTATGGTTAGTAATATTTTACCGTATTCATATTCATATAGCTAGTTTGAAACCTTATTTATAATCTAACCAACCAAACTGCATCGTTGCATAGATTCTTCCTTAAAATGCGTACGTACCAATAATCTTATCATTTTTTTGAAGTTATTTAAATTAACAACTTATTATTGACGTGGTCAATCTTCATGAACCGACATTGAAACTTTGAAAGTGATGGTTCTAAAATACCCTACGGAAAAGGACAACATATGCTATAAAGAGATAGTTTAGACACGCTAAGTCAAAATGTTTAGGTTGATTAAGATTTAGAAGATCAGACTACGATTCGTTGAGTTTATTTTAAATGAATAAGTTTTTGTTGGCATAGGCTTAGTGGCTTAGCTAAACCCAATAGTTAGAAACCCATGTGTATAGATTCATACTCTTACATACTCACAATCAAATATCTTACTAAAAATTATAGTGGGATACCATATACGTATAAGGTATGAAAGTTGAGATCTAAAACCAAAATTAGGATTATGATTAACATACATTTTTATTAAAACATATATAAGTTTTTGTTGCTTTGTAATTTTTTCTCAAATAAAGAAACCAACTAAAATCCAAAACAATATGCCATATGGCCGGCCAAAACCACTATATTAAGATTTGGGTCCAGTAAAATCAAACACTATGCATATTATATATGCAATTGACTGCAAACATCAGATATCCCGGAAGAAAATAGGTGTGAAGTCTCCAATCACAATGTACTAACCTCTTGTCGGAGTTAATATATTTACCTAACTTTAACCTGGAATTTGAAAGTCTTTATAATAGAAATACGTATAACTTAAAATATATCTTAATTAGAAAAAATATCGAACCTAGTTGTATGTATATTAGTTTCAGCAGATTAGGTCCAAATTGCCAAAATTATCAAGCTTTAAATGTTTGACTTATGCAATCTTAAAACAGGAGATCCGTGACTTTTAAAAATCAGAGGATGCAGCAAGTTGGTTCGGAAAGTTTCATACTTTCAGAGGATAGTAATTGTCTTACACTTTGAATCGGTCAAATGATTATCGTTATGTACTAAACTACTAATGACGATTAGTTAAATGGGCGGTAGAAAAATTATCTTTCAAGAAAATGCTCATGGGTCAGTCTGATTAGCTATCTTAATATTACCATCAATATAAAATAATATATAACATCAATATTTTCTTACTGTTTGATTGAGTATCTTATATAATAAATAATTTAATATAAATTTCATTATATATTTACAATTAATATTGAATATATAACCCACATATCGCGTGGATAACTTTCTAATTATTTATACAAAAAAGATATGGTGGTTGTTTTCGATATTTGAAACGTTTCGAACCAAAATTCACATATCTTTTCGAAAGGGAGATCAAAACATGATAAATGTAGTCCCTACTCCCTTCCCCGAGTACGGTCTTCGAACCCAACACTTGGACCAACTTTTCCTAAATGTGTCTCCTGGTTCAACCGTTTAAGGTACGGATCTTCTGGGTTAAAACATGAAATTAAATTATTGTAGTCACTCATTGAAAATGGGTAGTACACTGTTACTATACTGCCATTCTTAATTGCTTATGCTTATGTAAGAGTTGTTGATCTCTTATTGGCCACTAAATTGGTGGTTGCTTCGGTAAATTTATTTTCTTTTGATATGAAATGTTAATGTTAAATAATTTTATAACGTTTTAATGTTGGACAGTCTAAAATTTAATGTGACAAAAAAATTGCAACCTTACTGTTTCCTGAGAAGTACATCAGCAATATCACAGTAAGTCCTCTATTAAATTAAACCAAAAAAAAAAATCCTCTAATTATACGTCAATCATCGCATGCATATCATTAGACGATGGGTACAATAATCCATGTTATTGTTTTATTTTATTTTAGAAGCTTTCCCAGTTTTCCATTTTGGATGCTGGCACGTGTCGCTACAGTCACATTAAACCGTTAATTTTTGGGGATTAAAATACTAAACCCTAAGTTTTGTTATTGATATTATAATTAAACCCTAGGTTAACCTACCAATTATTTAATCAGATAGCGTATAAAATAAGATATGACCCAAAGTTCGTCTACATCCAAAAGAAGACCATAGTCGTTGACTTGTTTCATCCCATATTAATCTTCTGGAAACTATAGGAAGCATCGTAGGAACTTTCAAATTGATTGTAGAAAAAAACAAAGAACTTTAGAGCTCGAAGATGCAGTTAATAATATATTACTATTAGACCGATTAAGCATAAACAGTTGGGTTGATATAAAATAATGTCACCATAAATAATTATAACTTTATCATTTTGGTCTCCCGGTACTGTTTTTACGTTATATTGATAGTTTCAAAATATTTCAATGCTTTCTAAAGCCTTTTCCTCGAAAAGCAACTATATGTTTTCAGTTTTGACTTAAATTTTAATATATACTCCTGAATAGGCATGTCAATCGGGCTAGCCCGGCCCGGCCCGGCCCGAAACCCGCAAAACCCGTACATATTTGAGCCCGGCCCGGTCCGGCCCGTAAAAATTCCGAGCCTATATTTTAAAGCCCGGCCCGGCCCTAACAGGGCTACAGGGCTTTTCCGGGCTTTTTTGGGCTTTTCTTCCGACAACAAAAAACAAACTTATAATTTATAATATCTCTTAAAAAAGAATCTATATATGAAACAAGTCAATCAAAACTTAAATAACCACTAACGCTAATTTAGTTT